AAAAGAAAAGACAAAAAGCAGAGAAGGTGATCTAAGACTGATGAATCTAAGGGAAATTGAAAATGATGAGTTTCACACTTTTTAAGGTTTAAGATTAAAAGAGAATGGAAGAGATGGCATGCAGATTGATGAACAAGAAGAAAACCAAGAAATCAAAGGAAATTAATGGATTTAATCCTAATTATCTCAAAGTTGATGTTTAACAAAGTCGAAATCCAACAAATGAATGAAAATGAAGCAAAACCCATGCTTTCTAGAAATAAAAAGGGGGGAATAAAGAAACAGTAATAAATCCATTCAATCTAAAAGATGAAGTTTAAGAAAGGGGAGCTACACCACTCGATTTGGGATGAGGAGGATAAGAATGTCGGAAGAGTGAGCCTGAATAGAGCAAGATCGAGATCTATGGCTAGAGGAGCTAAAGGGAATATCGTAGATGGACAAGATGCTTAGATGAACAAATTAGGGATTTAGATTATAACTGATATTGTATATATATTGGGTTGATTGTAAATTTGTTTAAAGATGAGAGTAAAATAAGAATAACAAGTAAATTTAATTAAATTGAAGAAGTACGTGAAAAAGCACCAAATTCACGCTTTTTTCCATTTTCAAAAAGTAGAACCAAGAATTAGCTTTTAGCAACTAAAGCAATTTTTACTAACGATTTGTTGGTCGAATAAAAAGAATTTGATTTCCCTTAAATAAAGTCTCAAGTTCGAATTTTGTGAATGGAGAAATATGTGTTAGGAGAGCTTCTTCTTCAATTCGATACAGTTCAATTATGCATTAATTGGAATCCAATGTAGTTACTAAATACTGAGAAATTAATAAAAAAAAAAAACCTAAAGCAATTTTTGTAATTTTAAGTGTTTGATATAACTAGTGCTATTAGACTTTAAAAGTACTTCTAATAAGCTGCACCAAATATATATGCACTTAGTAATATAGGAAAAGCTCTCAACTTTAAGTTACATTTATTAAATATTAATTTATAAATTAAGTTTAAAATTTAAATTTTAAAATGAGTATTTTAAAAAAAATTAATTTGTTTAAATACAAATTGATATGGAGTTAAAGTGAAATTAATTTTAAAATATATAAAAATTAACTCAAAACTAACCTAATTATGAATAAAAAAATAAATAGTAGAAGCTGCCCAAAATTCCACGACTCTCCCCTGATTTGCCAAACTATATCCGTCCTTTCCACTTCTGTGTGCAATTATTTAATATTGATGATGTGCCACCATTTAAGAAAAAGAAATGATTTTTTTTAAGGACCGTTTAACATACAACAAAGAACGTGGGACTTTCAACTTTCAATAAGCTTCGTGTGGATCAAGTAATCACTTAATTATTGATTAAAAGATATTTTACTTTGGATGTAAGATTCAATTCTTAATTTTTTTTCAATTCTCTTATTATGGCTGTGATTATTGTTGTCCAAAAGAATAATCGATGAATTGCACTCTTATTCAGATTTAAAATTTATTATTAACAATTCTAACTTTATTAATTTCTAACAATTACTTTTGTGAAAAAAAAAAAACTTTTTTTTTTATTTAACAAGGTTGGTAGGGGTTTGAATTCAGTCAAAAAAAAAAAAAAAAGAAGCAACCGCACCTTAAGGTAACAAGAGTTACTCGGCCTAACGGATTAATTACCCAGAAAACGTGGAACTTGGGGAAGAATATGCTCACGGTTATTATGGATTCTAAATTTCTAAAGGGAAGGAAGAAGGAAAATGTCTAGAAACTTAAAAAAAAACCCCAGAAAAACAAAAGGCATCTTTGGGGAGCTTCTTTCCTTTGTTTTATTTTATTTTATTTTTTTTTTTTAACATTAACATTAAATTGGGTCTTAAAACCTTACCAGTTAAGCTCATTAACTTATAAGCAATAACAAGTAACCTTTTTAGAAAATTAATTATAAAAAAATCAGAAACATTTTTCATAAATAGCCAAAAATTACATCTACACTGAAGAGAAGCCCAATACCAGATATACCGACTTGTTGTTTTCCCGTCACTTTTAGGATTTTTTTACATTGCATCATTCTTTCAAATCATGAAAAACTCTTAACATAAGAAAGATACCATCCGACCTTGCGGCCTTAAAAGTCCAACTAAGCATGAAGCCTAACAAGGTAATCACCAACTATTGCACTTGTGCATAACAAGAAAGAAAGCCAACAAGAACGAAGCTCATAAATTTCTTAAAAATTAGCTGGGCATTCTATTTCCATAAAGAAAGATACAGAACAAGGATATATATAACAAAGACTTTGATTCTAGGTTTGCAAACAAAAAGTTCAATTATTTAAGATAACGATAATGAAAATCAGGCGAGGTAACGAGAAGCTATAATGATTCATAATTCAAGCTAGCACTTTAAAGTTTGAATCTTTAACTAACTGCAACAGAAACCCATAAAGGTCCTCCCCATCAAAAGCAGGCATCCAGGAGGCAGCAACAGCACAGGGCAGCCAAACTGCATACTCAAATTAAGAGATTAGGAACTTTGACAGTCATTTATTAATGCATAACATCAGAAAAGCATTCATCATCATTCGTCAAATAAAATTAAATCCAATCTATTTTATTTGGGTAAGCAGTTTACAACAAAAAAAAAAAAAAAAAAAGGAATTTGGCAGCAGTAATCCCCCAAGTTATCATCACCTCCAGTGTTGTTAAATTGATTCCAACCCACATAATGAGTAAACATCAATTGCAGCCTACTTGAATCTCGTCCCAACAACCAATCCTTATCTCTTTAACTATTTGGAGTGGTTTAAAAGTCATGTTGACTTAAATAATGAAAAAGTCCACACCACAATATATGAATAGAAGAAAAAACCCACAACAACCAAAAACTCTACTTTTCCAAGTCAATTTGTTCTGCAGTCCTATGGTTTAATACAAATATAAATATTTAATATTTATTAAAGGGTTGCTATTTTGTAATTTCAACTGTAAAATAAGTATCCTTAAATAGGAGAGAACCTCCAATATCAAGGGCCGTCCCTCATCCTAGGATACCACTGCCATATGGTGCAGTACAGAGGCAGCTAGACAATTAAAGAGGTTATAGACTCAACTCGTTCATCAAATGAGGTTTTGAAATCCAAATTGTAACTCAGCATAAAGTTTGATGACCTTGAATGATATTTCCCCCAAATTAATTCCAAAAATCAATTCTAAAATTCAATATGAAGTCCTTTAGCACCTTTCCATGTATGCAAAATCAATTCTAAAAATCAAATTAATTAGATCATATACCCACAAAATTTAAGAGATGAACTAAATGACCAAAACACCCTTAAACCTATAGTTGGATACACAAAGGAGTCCGGGCATTCTTGGAATTTTAAGATCTGACTCCAAAAGAAAACTCAACCCAATCCTTCTTGGGAATTGTGTGGGACAAGCACACAACAACAATCTTTAAGGCGTAAAGAAGGACCATTTTTTTTTTTCGTTCTCGCTAACCAAACAAAAATATAGATCTGACATACTGTGTTGCATGCGAATGGGTAAAAGAGAGAAAGCATGCATACCATCCTTCCAAGAATCCGGTGCTGGAGCTTTGCTGTTGAGGAGGAGGCTGGCCGTACTGAGGAGCGTATGGCGGAGGATAACCTTGTTGTGGATACCCCGGCTGAGGATATCCTTGCGGGGGATATCCCTGTGGTGGATAAGCGTCCTTGGGATATCCTTCCGGTGGATAACCTGCTCGTCATCCACAAACATCATCAGATCCACCAGATCCATTCAATTACGATGTAAAACGAAAACCAAAATACATAAATCGAAACAACTACGGAAATCCGACTGACCTTGAGGAGGAGGAACGCCGACAGGAGGCTGCTGCTGATTGTAATAACTCATCCTTACTTGTTTGGATGGTCAGAAAGTTTTTCCTTCTTGGTGAGGTTTAAGAAGAAAGTGCCGTGAGGAAAATTGGGGAGAAGGAATAGACTTATATATTATAAGGCGACCAATGTTTTATTAAGTAATATTTTAATGGAAAATTTTTTTTTTACAAAAGATTAAAATAAGGACACAAACTTTAAAGTAAAGTAAAATTAAGGGAACTATCTTTTATTAGACACGATTATGCATATCAGTATCCCAATTTGAATAAGGGTTATTCTAACATGTGCTATAAGGGTATAATTAATGTATTTTTTAATAGTTAATTTGTATTAAAAATAAAAGTTAATTTTTAATGTATTAATCATTTAATTAAAATCGTACAGATAACATTAATATTATTATTTTATTGGCAGACAAAATTTTTTTATAAAAGTATAAAATAAAGTATAAAAGGTACTGTTATCCATTACATTTTATTGTCAAAAACTATCATCATAGGAAACAAAATACATAAAAATAACAACCCTCTTAAAATAGTAAATCCTAATCACTTTCCTATGTCTACTAATTTGCATGCTTCTAGTGGGGAAATAAGCAAGTTAATTTCCATGGGTATCTCAGCATTAATGTTAACTCTAATCCAGTCAAATGATATTTGATTTTACTAAATCCAATACCTTACTTGAGAAGTTAGATCCTTTTTTAAATACTAGTTGATTTTTTTACAACTAGATAAACTAAATGATTGCAAACTACATTAATATTAAAATTAATATCAGATTTTACATTTTTATGCAAATTAAAGGCTAAAAAATGTATTAATTACATTTTTAATCTTAAAAAAACACTTTGAATAAATAAGGATACCTTGGACTAGGGATGACAATTTTTACACTAAGAAGGTGTTTTATATGGTTAAAAACTTGGGATTTCAAGATAAAAATTTTAACTTCAAATCTTAAGATAAGTGAAAAAAATTAAGAAAATGAAAAAATTATCTTCTATTGTATAGTTTATCATCTAATGTACTAAAAAAAAAAAAGAATGACAATTTCTTCTTGCTCTTGTTCTTTATAATTAAAACAATCAATTATAGGTTGTTTTAAACAACTAAACTAATTAAACAACAAAACTAAACACAGGCAATATTTGTTTTTATATATACGTAAGGTTGCCAATATAATAACTTCCTTGTCCAGTGTGTTTTTATTTGTTTGTATCCTTAATTGCACTTAATAAAACATGATGCCCTTAATTGCATGTTATTCCAAAGTTTAAGTCATTATGTTTTAAAAACAAGTAAAATAAATGATTCCTTGAAAAGGTGAAATAAATTTGATTTTGGTAAGGTTTAAAGCTGGAGCAAAATTCCGTGTGATATGCGCGTGAAGCAGTGAAAAAAAACATTACACCCAAAATTCTACAACGGTCGGTGATATAGAGATAATTTTTGTATTATTTTTTATATAATTTTTATATATTATTAAATAAATAAATATATTTAATATTATAAATTTTAGATAAATAAAAAAAATTAATTATTTAAATGATATATAAAGTTATATAAAATAATAGTATAAAAAAGTTATTCTTAAATAATTTCTTATTATATACGGTGATATATAGACAATTTTTTTATATTATTTTTTTATTAAAGTTTGAAATCTTATACTATTAGTGATAATGGAGGTAAATTACTACTAGTAATTAACAATAATAATAAATAAATAATAGCAATAAAATGTCACAGGGAAAGACATTGCACTAGATAGGGAAATAAAAGTCAGCAGTGGAAGGGAAGTTCTGGGTAATTTCCTTTGATAAAAATATATTTGAGTAATTAGCAATTAAGAATTCGGTAAAGTTTTTTTATGCTTTAATTTTAAATATTTATATCTTTTTATTATTTAAAAAATATATAATGTTAATTAAAGAAATATTAAATACGTTACTAATAAAAACTTAATTAAATTAGTACTCATTAATTTAAAAACCTTAATTAAGACAAAAGTTGATAGTTCAAATTTTTATGATACTAAGTAATTAACTCTTTAATGTATAAAAAAATTAAATATATTTTATATATTTTTAAGATATTAAAAAACCAAAAAAGCCTATAACTACGAACCATAACCTAGTACTACCAAACTAAGCCTAAATCCAAAGGAAGTTCTAGGTAATTTCTTTTCATAAAAGTATTTTGTAGTAATTAGTAATTAAATCTAGAAAAATATTCTTTCTTTCCTTGGAATATGTAATTTATAAAAACGAATTTGAAATCCTTGCTTCAACTTGAAAGGAAAACGATGGACATATATAATGGGAGTTTGTCCAATATAACATGATAGTTTCAGTTGATAGAAAAAAAAAAAAAAAATTCCACGCCATTCACTTGTTAAATATGGTAAAGTATTAATCAAATTATTAAGTACAAAAAAAAAGTTAAAATAAGATAACTGATTTAGATCAATAGAATAACTTATTAACATTTTTGTTTGAAGGCTAGCTATGCATTAATTAATATACATCCATTTATTTATTTATATAACTCCAATGGGGTGGTTTAACGATTAAAAACTCAAAATTTTAAGTTAGAAAAATATTAAATTCAAATCTTGAGTCTGTTGAGGAAAGATTTAAAAATAAAAAAAAACTTATTTTTTTTTATATAACCCATAATCGAATGTAGAAAAAAACACACTTATCTATTTCATTCAAACTGCAGAAAGAAGCTCATTCTCTTTGTCTTCACTAAAACCTGTATGCTGTATGCCTAAGTCTAACCCAAACCTCTGACTTGTATAATTAAAGAAATTATTACATTTCTCCAAAAAATAAAAAATAAATAAATTATTACCAAGTTACCAAGTATAATTGATGACATTATGATGGTTTTTGATGGTCGGGTGTGTTACCAAAATAGACATGCAGGCCGCATGCATATGAATTTTAAGTGAATTTTTTAAATATAGAAAAATAAACATAACAATCACAAGATATATACTGGCTCACTTATACTGGCTTGCAGGACCAATCTAATAAGTTGTATTGGCAGGAAGAAAAGGATTTTAGAGCCATGTTCAATCTTTTTCTGGCAATTTCATTTGAGCTTCCTATTTTACTATTTAAATTGCATAATTTTAACTATTAATTATTAACTACTAAAATAAAACTAAAATGAACTTTTGCCTTTTTTTGATTAGTGATAGTGAATATTTTTTAGTCATACTCTAAAAATAAAATAAAATAACTTCTATAAAAATTAGAAATAGCATTAATATTTAATTTTCCTTTTATATTAGTAAAGAATTAAGAAACACTTATTCTTAAAAAATGTAAGAAATACATATTCTTCATTTATCCTTTAATTTAATAAAAAATTATCAACATTAAAACTATACCATTTCTAACTCCCTATAAAAAATTTCTTAAATTAAACTTAGTCATATAGTT